GCCCTTGTGTTTATATTGGCCAAACAGGCCGACGTCTTGAGACTCGCATCAATGAACATAAGTCAGCCGTTCGCCGACGGGACCATTTATCACTCGTATTTGCGCACTCCCTTGAGTGTGACCACCGATTCAATTCGAATGGCACCGAGATGATCGCCATGGCTCATACGAGGCAAGCGAGAGAATTAATCGAGGCGTGATACTCGAGCCCGGCTAGTATGAACAGACACGTAGAGGTTGATTCATACTATACCGGTTTTCGCGCGTGGCCGACTAACCTGCATCCAGCCTGAAACAACAGCAGGCTGTCCGTGCTCGGTCAAGGAGAATTTCACTGACTCTGAACCCCCCCTCCCCTCACCCGAACACGTGGCCCATAATCCAAACGTTAAAACTTCCCTCCCATCACCAGCAAAACCTACCGCCGCATGAGTTACGTCACCATAACCCTTCTGCCCAATCCCGCTCTGTACGTTGTAGCCTCTGCGCCCAAAACCTCTAGTGCGACACTCCCGGCCCTCACTTTTCATTTAGTCTGACGACGAACAAGTGATACCTGTTCGAAAGTTCACGATTACAACTCGATTTTCCGAAGATCTTCCTTCTTTTCATAATAAAGAGGGTGCTAAAACGTCCAATATGGGAACGCCCGAACATAAATGGATTCCTGTTGAAAAATACGATCGCTTAGTTGATATATTATCATACCGAAGTCGCCCGACAATATCGGTGGCATCAGACACTATCCGTTGGCACGCGTGCTCACTTGGAATTTAAGTCTACGTATGAGGAAACCCAGACCTCAAGGAACGATGGTATTGAGAGAAAAAATAAGTAGGACTTGTTCCCACAGACCATATTAAGCGTTCGAATATTCTTTTGTTCCGCAATGAGGCTTATCCAAGTGACTGACACGCAGAAAAACATTGATACTCGGAGGAGAGATCAAATAATTTTAAATTATGCCCGGTCTGTTATCAGGCATTGAGCGTTCATATATCGATAGGGTGAAGAGTTAATACTTACAGTCACGTTGGCTAGGTCAGTAAAACGCGGAAATTAACGGCCGCAGACTGATCGCAACATGGAAAACGAGTGTATCGGTTCACCCTGCATTTCACGCACAGAACCGATTAATTACCAACTAAGCTACTAGGGGACTGCGATGCTAAACAACCTCAAGCCGGCATTCCGGCAGTTATTGTCACATTAGCTGAAATTCTCCCCGCCGCTGTTGTGCTGTGAGGCATTGAGCTATCGGTTGTCCCTGAGACAACCTCCTGTAAAAGTTGGTTTGTCCTAGCATGTACTTCTGGAATATTGTGCGTTGTGATAACTCCAGCCATCCGCTTTAGAAACATTATTCGGCATTGATGACTTACATGATCGCCTAAATAGGCACAGAAATAGAAATCCCCCGCCCTACTCTAAAGCCTCCAGTAAGCATGAACCCAAACCATAACCGTTGACATAATCCTTAACCTAACCCCAACTCCAATTTTCATCCTGACTTTAAGCTTAATCCTAATCTTAACCTTTCCCGCCATCTTAATCTCAAACAAAATTGCCTTTTTACTTAAGTGTTTTCGCTAGTCTCTCGGGAATGTAGTTTGGGGAATTCATTTTGCGGTGATCAGGCACTGTAAAGTGGTCCAAACATGTGTACCCTCTTTCAGGCATGTCTATCTCTGGAGTGAATTAAAATAAGGAAGGCGTTTACTGGCTTAGTAAACAAACGCTGTTTTCCTACCTTGTAGAGGATAATGAGAAGCGTATTCAGCCAGTGATGACGAATATGCGGTTCCAGAAGACGCAGAGTGAAGTTGGGTGCCTGGCAGTCGTTGGCGTAGCGCTGAGGAGAAGCACAAACCTGTAGGACCACAAGCGTTTGGTGTAGGATGCAGCTACCCATTGAGGGATTTCGGTCCAAAACGTCGGCCACGTGAGAAATAAAGGCATGAAATACCGTGGAATTTCTAGAACAAAAAAGAATATTTTGAGCAAGCAACGCCAGATGATGCATCCACGGCAAATATTTCTAAATTAAATTTGCAAATATTAGAAATGTTATTGGCATTCTGACCTCAACTTCCCCAACTCCTCCTCCCCCCTCCCCACCGTGACAACAAGAACACGTCATCTGTCCACCAACCACCATAATTTATTCATTTCATTACCATATAAATTTAAAGGCCTGACGAGAATTTATCAAAAACAAACGTATATTCGCCAAGTTATCTTCTGAAATTTTCAATGGGAATTTTCGCAGTCTCCAAGATCACGGGATTATCGGGAAAATTTATTTTTCTTTACAAAATACTTGGTAATTCCTATAGTTATTTTAAGTACTTAATATTTGCCTGATGCAGTTCATTTATTTCTAAATCTTCCTAAATGCACTCACACTGGTATTCGAGTAATGATCAAACTTATACAAAGTTATGAAAATTGCATGGCCTTTGGCGACTACTGTATATATGCCTTATATACGGACGCTCTCCATTTGATGTAAATAGACGGTGCAATTAGCAAATGCGCATTTACCTTAATTTGTAGGGTGGAATATTAAAGGCCTGGTCAGAATAGCCAAGAAGCAGTGCTAGATGACGCTGCACTTTTGATAGGCTCTTTTTGTTCTTTAGTTCGTCAGTTGCAGCTCCTCGCCTGTTTTTTCCACCCTGGAAACTTCCGTCGATATCAACAGTAGCCATAAAGCGTAGCAGAAGACGAACCCATTGATGGAGCGTCCCTCTGTCGGAACCCTCCTCGTCCAGTTTTATTTGTAGAGACGAGAGGAACTTATTCGCACTGTCCATGAAGTCAGTTCCACTGGTGCTTCCTGTAAAAGTTTAGATGTGGTGTATCAGCTAAGCGGTGAGCGTGGGCAGGGAATGTTTAGTAATGACATCAATTACGAAAGAAGAACTTGATGCACAGGGTCTTCGTAGTACAAAATGGCCAATCTATGCGCAGTGGTGTTCGAGTTCTGAACGGTACTATAAAACTTTAAACAGAAGACTCAACGCTAAGTCATAATCCAGCTTGGACAGCCGATTGCAAACAGGAAGCAATGTTTCATCGGGCCAGCTTTGCGTCGATTTATTTGTGTTTAATTTTCTCTCTTAAGCAGATACTAAGTAAAGTTCATACCATGATGCCTGATTAAATTTGAATCAGAAAACGGATTTCTGTAAATTTTAACTTAAAAGAAACCCTTCAACTAGAATGGTCACGTACTCAGGTAATATACGATCTGAAGTTTACGGAATAATCATGAGTGCTCAGACGACTAGCTCCAAAAATCACCAATTTCTTAAATGATTGCCTGGTGCTAAGGATACTGCTACTGAAAGTATAAAGATTTTTAGTAATAAAAGCTAACATTATTGGATAAAAGTTTATAAGGAGAACTTGTATGGCACCCTTAAAAGCACATGGGAATAGATAGAACCCACAATACAGGTTTCTTTGCGCCAAATTCTATATAAACGAGGACAAGGCTTATGTTAAGGATTACGATTAAGCCCATGGGTATGTGTAAGGTATGGATTACGGT